CTCTTCCCAGCTTCCTGCTCTGTCTACACCTGGAGCTTGAAGAAGCTAGGCCCTAGCAAAATGGGCATCAATGTTTTACCAATCTGTGGGCATGAAACTGAAGCCATGACCCTTGAAGACCTTTGAAGGGGGTCCTGGGGACCTGGGGGGAAGAAATGAGAGGTGTCCGTTCTGTGTGAGACTGTGGCTCAGGAGGAATTTATGCCATGGTCACAGTCAAGAGGAGAGAGAAGTCAAGAAAAATTGAGAGAAAACCCTCCTTTGAAAAAGATACAGGGATTCGAGATGTAGTCAAGAGCCTTCATACCTCTGGGTTCTCTAGAGTGTTTGGCTACACATACTATGGTCTGTCTGAGGTTGTCTGTGGCCACATTACACACCATGTCTGTGGGATAGACAAGAAGACGTCATACCTGGTGTCTGGAGTGGTCAGTTGATATGTGATGTGGACAGAAATGGGTCCACTCATAGGATCATGAATTGGACAAGAGCAGCATTACTAAAATGGTGGTGATGTAGACACAAACAGGTGACTTACAGCATCTGGTATAGACAGGCTGGGTCATGCACAGTGTCTGTGGAATGAACAGATGCTGGTCACTCAGTGTGTGTGCAAGGTGGACTGCAGCAGGCCACCCTCTATGTTAAGGACACACACGGGTCATGCATACTCACATTTTTTATGGATGGCACAGGGCCACAGGTGGGCTAATAGTGTTCTTATCTAAGACCATCTGGTCTATAGGCAGTAGATGCTGTGAAATTTTCAAGTGTTAAGGAATAGAAAACAATTCATAAGGAATTACAGCTTTCCTCCAGTGTATAAGACAGGTCTTAGCAGCTAGTGGTCCAGAAAACTACCCTTATTTTGATACCTTTGTAGAGTTGGGGGCAATAACCTTAAAACAGTGAATAAAGTTAGGCATCTGAATGATGATCTTATTTTTGAAATCAAAACGTATATTTTTTATCATGAGCAAGAGGATATTTTCCTAAGGAGGGCAGAAGCACAAAGTATAAAGGCACAAGTATTATAATCTCAAGATTATTACAGTAATTTATGTTGTAAGTCAGAATATTTGAATTGCCATTTCTAGAAAACCTAGGAAGTTTGGTCTTCAAAAATACATATAGTGCTCAACATCAGTTCAAAGAAAAAGCAATGTGACTGGAGGTGGGGTATCTTTGAAATAGATATTTTAAAGAATTTTATGTCTGATGACTAGAAATGGACAAGAGCTAAGGTGTTGGGGTCTGTAAGAGAGACAGCAAGCTCTGGCACATACTGTTAGTGGGGTGACTTGAGCTTTGTCTTCTAAGAAGTCACACACAGATGAAGTCATGCAAATGCAAAATGTCTCTGATCTGGAAGGAGGCCAGATCAGCATGATGCGGTGCCCTGTCTTTCCTGTGCTCACATTAATAGTGATTACTCACCCCTAGTGCAGAAGGAGATGAGGATGTTTGCACTCTAACGGAATGGGCAATGCAAAAATACTTCCCTTCTGATGCCTTTATCTGAGTAAGACACCATGTTCTATAGATTTCTTTGAGCTTTGTCACATTCTAGCTGTGTCATGCATGGTTGCAATAGGATTACTAAGACTGGATCAAGTACAGGACTATGGAGAATGTCTCCCTTTGGGGTGAATGGTGTCTAAGCAGAAAACCAGTGATGTTTCCAAATGCATAAAAACAGTGTTAGAAACAGTGTTAGTGGACAGATATGTGCCACTAGATTGGAACTGAAAATATCCAGGGAGCACATGATATAGACAGATAAAGCTTAGGTGTCGCAGAAACACTTTTATAACTTCCGTGACTACTTGTTTTAAGGCCATGGTGGTGTATATGAGGAATAAGGCCTGGAAAATACAGATGTGGGTGAGGGGAGAGGATGGAGTTAGTCAAACCATCTCCCCAGGGAGTTAGGAGCCAAGTTACAGAAAGTGTCTACAAGGACCACATATGTTATTTAAGATGTGGTGGAGACCGTAAAAATCACATCACAGTATCACCTCCAGTGGTTATTATATTTTATACTTAAGGGATAGATATAGGGAGCAAACCACATACTGTCAGTTACCCAGAAACATAATAGTTCTTCAACATGGGTACAGTTATGTTAGACATATTTTGCCCCATGTAGATGTATCCACATCTATGGATGACCAGGAACTTGTCCAATACTACTTTCTCACAGGGGCCAGGGTCCTTCTTCTTTGGTTATATAAGGCTCTATTGCACAGAGACCTCAAATGTTCCTTACTGTGGGGAGGAGTGGTGTATACATGCATATGTTTGCATATATATGCATATGCAATTGCTCAGCATTCTGGTGATGAGCTTCCAGTTCTTCCACTTTAAGCCTGCACCATACAAGAAAAGTTCAGGACCAGATACAGGATGGAGTCTATGAGGCTTCTGGAATCTTCCCTTGACTGATGAGCTGCCAGCTTCCTGACAGACAGACTTCTGGGTGCTAACAATAGACTTTCAACAAGGGATCTTGTTTTAGATTCACCTATGCCATTTGTTTAGGAAATTTGGGCCCGTGTCTAGGGTCTTAAACGTTAGTTTGCTTATCTACAAATTAAGCAAAGTTTTCTTTGTCTCCAAGGGTCCCTCTAATTTATAAATTTTATATGTCTCTCTCAAACTTTTTCTCTCAGATCAACAATATCTACTATTTCTATGGCTCTTAAAAACAATGAGATTTTTTTTGTTGTTGCCTCATTGAATATTCATTAGAATTGTGAAGAAAGTACTTTAATCTCATTTTAAAAGTTAAGGGATGTTCAAATAGATTAAATGATTTAGACAATTGTCTTACAAAGGCAAATATTCAAAAAACCAAAACAACTAAAAATCAAACCACATGCCTTTAAATCTCCATTCTTCCTTGGGTCATGTAGTTGACTGAGAGCCAACTAATCTTCTGGAAAGGGGACTGAGCAGGTTACATGGCAGTGTTTGTGCCATGTGGTGCTCCTGGTCTAACCACAGTGACTATCAAGAGAAGCAAAGAATTCTCTGGGGCAGAAGAGGATTCTAGGTGGAGACAGGTGCCGACAGGTGGTGAAGTTGCTGGGATGAAAGGAGGAGGCCAGGTTGTGCAGCTTCATGCTGAGTATTGAGCTTTGTCTCAAGGGCAGTCAGAGGCCACTGATGAATTAAAACTAGAAGTGATGTTTTGAAGATCACTCAGGTGCATTGTGGAGAATGAGATGGAATGGAGCAAGATGTGTGGAGATCGGTGGACAGGCTGCAGTAGCCTGGTGAGAGGTGGCCTGGTGAGAGGACACAGTGTGCTCCTGGTGTAGCCATGAAGATGCGGAGCAGTGGTCAACCCTGAGGAGTATTTTAGGAGGTGGATCAATAGGACTGGGTGATTGATGAGATATGGCAGATCTGGCCCAGGAGAGAAACAAGAATTTTATTCTTTATGTAAAAAAATATTTATTAAACACTTAGTATGAACCAAGTATCGTGCTAGGTTACACAATTGAACAAGCTAGATGCAGTTCTTAATCTCATATAGTTTATCACACCATAGTTGAAAGGAGGGTAAGTCAAAATACACACATAAGTACCTAATTTTAATTGTATAAATACTACAAAGGAGAAGTGAAGTGAATTATAATTGATAATTGCTTTAAAGAGAAGTAGAGTTTAACCTGGTTAGAGCATTGGAAACCTAAGACATACATCAGGGAAACTTCATAGTATAAATAACAATGGAAAGAATATTTCTGAGGTCAGTAGTGTTCAGTATAACTCCCAGACATGGTATGTGACACACTCTCCAAGATAAGAGTCCATTGAGCTTCTTTGGAATTAATAACATGATGATTCTAAGGGATGCTGGAAAATCGGGCCACTGAAGTGGGGCCGAGGCAGGTAGGATGTGGGGACATGAAGACCGCAGAGGGGCACAGCACCTTCTAGCCATTTGAAAGATGAGGAAGACCCAGGGATGTGTAAATACTGGTGGAGTAGTGCCAGGAGAGGACTTGAAGGTGAGAGAGCAAGATAACCCACAGTCCTGAGGGAGCAGCGTAAGAAAAGGTGAAACTTGGAGAGAAGGGAAGATGGAAGGAGTGGAGATGCAGGTTGCTGTGGATTGCAAGAAATCAAAGTAGCTCTCTGCTGGCTTCTGAGTTCTTTACAGAGTAGGAGATGAGCTGTTCTGCTGGAAGTGACAAGAGAAGCAGGAAGGTCACACTCTTGAGAAGTAGTGGGAAGAGTGTACCTAGTTGCTGGGGAAGAGGGGAGAGTGAGATGATGAAGGGACACAGCTTTATAGATTTTATTAAATCTAATAAATTAGTTATCATTCCACTTTACAGCAGCTGCCTCTCTAATTGAAAACAAAATTATTCATTAGTTATGTCTCTCCTAGACACTATAAAAGAAGGAAGGTGAGTAAAATCAAGACCCTGCATAAAGCACATGAAACTATTGTACCTTGCTCATTGGCTGTAATAGCCTGACCTATTTTAATCCCGTCGACAGTTTAGGAGGAAGGTCCTACTCCCAACACGGCTTCTCTGGGCTATTAGATCTAGGGTGTGTCACACACTGTGTCTGGGAATTATATGAGGCTGAGTCACTCTGAGTGTCCGGAGAGTCGACAGGGAGAAACAGACAATGACATAATAGAATCTAGAGGGCAGCGGCCGCTGGGGGCTCTTGGCACTCTGACAATGGCCTTATACTGTCATTGGATTATTATCTGCTTCCCCCATGAGGCTGCAGGCTCCATGAGGACAAGGTCTTTATCTCATTCACTACTGAATGTTCTACACTTAAAAGGGTCACTAGGGAAATCTTTATCAAATAAACAAATAAATGAGAAGTTTATAGAGGATACTGCCTATTTGGATGAAGACTTTTTGTCTCAAAAAATGACCCAAAATGGAACCAAAGAAATGCCCTACTCTTCTTTGCAGTTTCCTTAGAAACCTTTGTCTTATATTCCTCCATAGGATTCAGCCCTGATGGAGGCTGAGGAGCCCCAGCATGGAGCCTCCACTCCCCTCCCTGCGGTAGAAGAATTCAGAATTATCCCTGAAGCTATCATGAGGAGCAGCCAAATCCCCACCATGGAGCTTGAAGCCCAAGAAGACCAGGACCCATCTTATAAGTGGGCCGAGGGACATAGACTCTTGTTGATCCAGCCAAGAGGGTTACAGGACATGACTGACTCTGTAGAGGAGGGCATGCCCTCTTTCTCAGAGGAAAGTTCTGCAGATGTGGAGACCAACCAGGAAAGCCTTGTGGCGGAGGCCTATGATACCCCAGGACACCAGGAGGCAGTACCCCAGAGCCTGGCAGACAGAGGACCAATGATACCAGCTCCCCCAGAGCTCTGGACCTGCCCCGTCCAGGGTGAACAGCTAGACAAGTTCTCAATATCCAGTGACCTGGGCTGCAGAATAGAGGTGGAATTTCAGCCAGACCTCACTTCTTTGACATTGGGGTCTAGAGAAGCGAAAGAGAAGGAGGCACCCTCTCCCGACACCTTTGCTCAGACTGTATTTTGGCTTCCCTGTGAAGAGCACCCTGCAGACATGAGCCAGACTCAGGGCTCTAGAGGTGGAACTGTCAGCCAGAAGGAGGAGCAGGAAAGTCAAGGGGGAGAAGAGCTCTTACAGCCCCAGGAGACTCTGGGGCTAGAGGAGCAGGAACAATATGAAATGGAATCTCAGGGGAAAGGGGTTCTGGGGGAGGATGCTTGTTCTGGTGGGCTTTGGGAGGAGCAGGAACAGATAGTGGAGCAGGCTAATGGTAAAGAGGGGGTACACGGGCAAAAACAGGAGCAGGTACAAGATGGTGTGTCGCTTGGAGGACGAGAGAGAGAGAGACTCAGTGGGGAACTGGAGGTTCTGAACTGTGGTGAGCAGGGTCAAGAGGGGAGGGAGAGGAAAGCCCAGGGTCAGGGAGACCTCGAAGAGGGGGGACAGAGGAAGAGGGAGTTGAGGGGGCCTGAAGAAAGTAGGGTGGACTCTCAATACATGGAGAATCTAAGCTTAGTGGGGAAGTCAGAGGAAGGACCTGGAAAACAAGATAAGAGTCTAAAGGGGAAAGTGATGGCGGCAGAGGAGGAGGAGCCAGGGAGCTGGGCTGGGGGTGGGCTGGGGGCGGTGGGAGATGAGAGGAGCACAGAAGAGGAGCAAGGTACTCATTGTCCTTCCCTCCTAGCTCTGGTAGCCCCTGAGGACCATTCTCCCTGTGACTTACTTCCAGATGCCTTTTGTCCCGTGACCCAGATTCCTCAGACTGAGGAACTATCCCCCAAAGCTCTAACCTCTGCATTGGAGCCAAGAAGACACTTGCCCCAGCCCATTTCTCTACCTGGCTCCTCTCCTACTGCAGAGTCACTGGACAGTATAGTAGCTCACAGTGACCAGCAAGAAGAGTCCGAGCTGAAGAAGAGGCCAGTGTCCAGCCAGGAGACTGAGATGATCTCTGCCCGTACATCTGTGACTCCTGCAAGGACACCAGAGTCAGCTGCTTTTAGTTCTTCTGAAGTCTCCCCCGTCACAGCTGCCTTATCATCTGAGAGTCCCTCAATCGGCTTTCCTAGGAGGGAGACCCCAAGAACCTCTTTCTCAACTGACACCCTATCTCCCTGTGGGGCATCGGAGACTCCCTTGGTGGCCCTTCACAGCTCCCTGTCTGCAGTGACCACCCAGGACCACACCTCCGATGGGGCCAGCCCTCATAGCTCCCCAGCCAATTGCAGTGGGACCATCCAACACCTAAGGAGCAACTCCTTCCCAGGGTCCCACAGGACAGTGCAGACTCCAGACCTGGTGGGAATGTCACTTTCTTTCTCCCATTCAGAATTACCCCAGAGGCCCCCCAAACCTGCCATTTATGGCTCTGTGACCCCAAGAAGGGACAGAAGAAGTAGTAGGGACTGCAGCGTAATTTCAGAATTCCCTTCTGCATTATCCACCCTGAGGCAGGACTCGCAAGAGTTCACTTCAAGTCCAGAGAGACCCTGCAGTCCTCATAGCAGCCAGCCATGGGGCTCTCTCCCAAATTCAGCTTTTACTCCAGGGTCTCCTGCCTACAGTTCTTCCCCACCCACAGTCTCCATGGAGATGAGGATCCATGAATCTCTGAACCCTCCTCCCCTAGAGAAGAGACACATCCACTCTTCCATGGTGGAGAAAGATGGCCATCTTTCTACCGTGGTCCCCACAGTAAAGCGACATAGCCATCCTCTTTCATTGTCCCCAAGTTCAGAGATACATGGTTCTCCTAAAGGCCCCCTTCCGCAAATTCCTGACCCCCTTGTGTCAAGGCAACACCGACCTCTGCCATCTACCCCAGACAGTGCCCCCCTTACTCAGACCTCTCTCCCCCACAGGCTGAGATACAACAAGCCATTACCCCCTACTCCTGATATGCCCCAGTCCCACCATTCTCCCATCTCTTCTTCTAGTAACCCAAGGATCTACAGGCCTCTACCCCCTGTCCCCATTATGAATCCTTCCACCGAACCTCCTCCATTGCCCCCAAAGTCTCGGGGTAGGAGCAAGAGTACTCAAGGAGGACTTGTGAATTCAGGGGGTCAAGCCAAACCAAGACCCATTGGCCAAGACTGGACCATCTCCACTCCCCCCTCTACTGGACGCACCTCTTGGCCTCCAGCCACAGGCAGATCAACCGAGTCTTTGGCTTCCACCAGTAGGAGCAAGAGTGAAGTGTCCTCTGGCATGGCCTTCAGCAACATGACAAACCTTCTAAGTCCCTCTTCCCCTACTACTCCTTGGACTGTGGAGCTCCAAAAGCCCACCACCAAGGATGAACCCGCGCTCTCAGGGGAGCCCGAGGGCCATGTAAGAGGAGTGTTGAGAAGATCAGACCCCCAGGAGGGAAGCAATGGCCAAAGGAGGTCTTCTGTTTGCCCAGCGAGGCAGCCAGAAAAGCCCAGCCATCCCCAGCTGGAGAAGGCCTCCAGCTGGCCCCACAGGCGGGACACAGGGATTCTGCCAGAGGGCAGCGGTGGACAGACTGGGGGGCGTGGCGAGGGGTCCAACAAACACAAGGGCTGGAACCGGCAAGGCCTGCGCAGACCTTCCATCTTGCCTGAGGGCTCTGCAGGTGAGCAAGGGTGAGGGCCATAGTGACACCACTGTGAGGGCTGCTCTTTGCAGCTTTCACCACCACGTCCCATCTTCTGTCCCCAGGGTCACTGCTGTTCCCTCTGCAACTTCACTCCCTCACATCTTGCCTTCAACAGAGAAACCCTTGAGCATCCTCTCCCTCCCTTCAACCTCCACATCTCTTTTCAACCCGGGCCTTCTTTTAGTGTCTGTCTTTCCCCCCCGATGTTGTCTTGGATTTTTTCTACTTTTCAGCACCTACCTGCTTGGAGTAGAGAGAGAAGGTCCCTTCTACTTGTCCCATTCCTATTCTGACGAGGGCAGGGGATATAGCCGAGAATGGTTTCCTTCAATACTCTGTACTGGACTTTTTTCCCTCCCAAATTCCTTTTATTTTATTTTATTTTGGTTTTGGTTTTTCCTTCTGGATACCTGAATTCTCACTGTAAGAGTTATCTTCTTCATTTTCTCTGAATGTCCCTCTGAAATCTTAGTTATGTCACCCATTTCTATTTTCAGATTCAAGAGGTTCAGCCATGGGCAGATCTCCTGGACCCACAGATGCCGTTGTTTTCCGGTGAGTTACCTTCTCCTAATAGATGCACTTTCTTTCTCTCTCTGCTTGGGATGCTAAGATTTCATAATCTGGATTTTAGTTGATATGGGTTCTGGGACCTAGAATGGCTCATGGCTCTCTCTTTGGGGGGGGGGGGGGTAAAGTGGGGAAGAGAGACACCAGGAATCCAGGGCAGGGAGACTGAACTCTCCCTGTGGGCTCTGTTGGCTGAGTCTTAAAGTCATCCATCCTTCTCAGTCCTTTGATCTTGGAACTACTCCCCATGTAAAAGTTCCCAACCATCCTGAAGAGGGTCAGGATGCAACTCTGCACCTCTCTAGGGAATTGGGTCCTGACATCCCAGCACGTGCCAGGCAGGTGAGAGGCTTTCTCATCTGCAGTTGCCCGGAGTCATCTATCTCATGGCCAGCAAGCACCTCAGAGCCTTCCTTCCTCCACAGGGAGAAGAAACCAAAGGAGGGGACAGGAGGCTTTTCAAGACGCCGCTCTAAGCTCATCAACTCCTGTGAGTACCTTGGAGTGGGTCTGCAGGCCTAGGTAGGCGTTCTGCCCAGGAAGGGACTGGGCCTCGTGGTTGTCGGCAGGCTGGGGTGATGTCTGCAGGAGAGAGAACTGCCAGGTCAGCAGTAGCTGGGCAGCTTCCATCTTTCCCTGGGCCTCCGTTCACCTTCCCTTTCTTCTTCTCTTATGCGTCCTCCCATGCCTCTGTAGCCCAGCTACTTTACCAGGAATACAGCGATTTCTTTCTGAACAAGGAGATTCAGAGCCAGCAGCGGCTGGACAGCCTGGCAGAGGCCCCTGGGCCCACCTCCCCGCGGCAGCCTCGGAAGGCGCTGGTGTCCTCAGAGTCCTACCTGCAGCGCCTCTCCATGGCTTCCAGTGGCTCCCTCTGGCAGGAAATCCCTGTGGTGCGCAACAGTGCTGTGCTGCTCTCCATGACCCACGAAGACCAGAAACTGCAAGAGGTACCAAGCAGGGCAGGGTGTGGGAGGAGAAGGGGTTACAGGAAAGCTGGCAAGGTTGCCTTGCTGACCTTACTATCTCCTACTCACAGCACCACCTCTAAGAGCAGGCTGTCCCCACCCCATGTCACCCCCCACCACACACACACACACAGTGACCCTGAATCCTCTCCGTTCTGGAGAATGAATTGTTTTCTGAGTATGAGCCCTGTCCTCCTCCCTGCTTCCTCATGCCACTGGTCATCTGTGCATCTGTGCCCACCGGTTACTGGTTTGGGGCTTGTGTAGAGTAACAATGCCTGTGAATTTGTTGGATGAACTTCATCCCATGTTTCAGGGTAGACTGAAATTTCCCTCTTCCTGCAAGATTTCAGGCTACACTGAAGTTTTCCTCTTCAATCAAGATTTTTTTTTTTGGTCCCTAGAAGAGGGCCCCGGGGAGTTGATCTAAGAGGCTTTAGAGCATCTCTTTTGGGTCTTTATTCCCAAGAGCAATACTAGAGGCTATTAGTTGGGTTTTAAGCTATCACTATTAGCACGTTTTCCATCAAAAGCTTCTCTTAACTCTCAGATCTATCTGAAATATGGCATGCAGCCTTTCTTCCTAGGAAGGCAGTAGAGCAGGGTCCAATAGAATAGTTTAAGAAATTAGCTTTGGGAGTAAATGACCTGCATGGGAAGCTCACTTTAAGATCTGCTGTTCAACTTGGCCAAGTTACTCCATCCTTCTAAGCTGATGTTTCCCCGTTTGTAAACTAGAGATGCAAAGAGTTACTGGAGAAGTGAAAAGATGAGAGCCTGGTACTCAAGAAATGTTGACTATGTTAGTGCCACGTGAGGTGCACCTGGTTCCCCACTTACCAGCTGTGCAACTTTAGGCAGGTTATATAACTTCACTAAATCTCAATCTCCTCATCCACACATTGAGGTTAAAATGCCTACCTTTCAAGGTTGCTGGGTGGTTTATTTTATTCATTTAGTTTTTGTGGGATGAGAAATTGAACCCAGGGCTTCTCAACCACTGAGCTACATCCTCTGCCCTTTTTATGGTATTTTGAGACAGGGTCTAAGTGGCTGAGGCTGGACTCAAACTTGTAATCCTCCTGCCTCAGCTTCTCAAGTAGGTGGGGTTACAGGCATCACCACTGCTATGTGGTTTAAATGAAATAACACGTATTTAGTTTAGCATCGTGGCTGGTGCATAGTTTGCTAAATGTTAGTGCCGAGCTTTCCCTTTTCATCATCAGGGAGGAGTAACAGTTTGGCCATAAGAATTTAATGGTAAACAATGCTTTTACTACCACAGAGACAGATGTTTTTAGGTTTTTCAAAGCTCAGACTTGAAGGCCCTGTTCTCACCACCATTTTTAAAATACATTGAGAATGTTTAGAAAATCACTAATGTACCCATATTTCTTATTCAAACAATGGGATATGACACAAACTTTAGCTCTGTCTCCCCAACTCCAGCAAACTAGGAAGTCTCCAGGGCTCCTGGTCCAGCTCTGGCCTCATGTTTGTGAGAAGAGAGGCCTCTGCATCTCTACCTCTTATACACACACTTGCATGTCATAAAATAGCCCCCCGGGGACTACAGTGTGCTGTCACAGGCTCCATTTCTTTTGACTGTCTTTGGGAGGGGAGAGCCACTCTATCTGCATAAAAAGACAAGAAAACTGAGGTTTAGAAAGATTCAATGAACCACCCAACGTCACAGGGTCAGTGAACACTGGCCCCAGGACCAGACAAACCTGCAACATCAGCTCGAGTGCTGCGGTGGGGGAGGTTGTTGGGCCATGTCATTGGCCATCTAAGGTGTGTGTGTCTTCTTTCTCTTTTCTATCCGGGGTCTATCTTGAAGCCACATGCCTGGGTGGAAAGCATGAGAAGCCCACACTGGTCATGGCCCTGAGTCTTGCACCTCCTGCTGGAACCTCCAAACATGCTCTCAAGGGCTGTGTTTTATGTTATACCACAACTGCACCATCTTGTTCTCAGATATCCAGTTTCTTTCCATTTCTCCTCCCACCCCAACCTGATCCATCAGCTTCATTCCCTAAAACTGTTCCTCTCTCAAAGACAACTCTATCATCCACCTAGTGACTCCACTGTTCACCTCGTTCCCTGACTTAAACACTGAGGCGTTGACTGTGGCCCTTCCTTCCTATTCAGGCCCCATTTCTAGCAAGTAACCAAGTCCTTCCAGGTCTGCCCCCTAAATACTTATGAAGTTGGCCTGCGTACCCTCATCCCCTTGTTTCTTGAGGGTCTCATCTCTCATCTGGTGTTATCACAACATTTCCTACCCTGGCTCTCTTTACCCTTTACCCTTTACTCTCTTCTCTACATTGTTCCAGAAATGTCTTTATCAGAAAGCACATCTCATCAAGTTATTCCCCTACGTAAAACCTTGTGTTTTTTTTTCCCTTATCTTCAGTCTAAACTGTTTTACATTGTTTATTTAACTTTCTAGACCTTGTTCCTATCTCTCTTTGCCTCTTCCGCCTCATCTCTTGATACTTTTGTATAATTGGTTCCCAAAATGCTCAATTTATTTAGGAACATTTTTTTGAAATAAATGTTATTGTGTATATTTAAGGTGTACACCCTGATGTTAGGAGATATATATATAGATATAGATATAGATATATATTAAAAAAGATTACTGCAGTGAAGCAAATTAGCATGGTCACCATTTCTCATAGATATCCATTTGTGTGCATGTTAGTTTCTTGATCGGCATATTTTTGCCTTTGGGTGCTTGCACATGTTTTTCAAGCTCTGGTTTAAATCTTACATATTGAAATAACTCTTATCTGTCCCCCAGATCAAGTTAGATTCTGCTGTTACTATGAGCTATGAAAGGGTCTATCTTATTTAGATCCCTAACCCTAGAATATTCCTTAGTGTCTGGTATATGCCAGAGAGCTAGCAAAGTTTTTCATTAGTCTTCTTCCTTTTCAACATCTTAGGCCAAATTTGAGCTGATTGTGTCAGAGGCCTCATACCTACGCAGTCTACATGTAGCTGTGGATCATTTCCAACTTTCAAGCCAACTCAGGGCCACCCTTTCCAACCAGGAGTACCAGTGGCTCTTCTCTCGGTTACAGGATGTTCGAGACGTCAGCACCACGTGAGACTATCTTCTCCCAAGTACCACTCCCTCAGCCTCAGTATTGTTAGCCACTGAACCTTCAGTCAGTGTTTTCCCCCTTAGAAACCTTCCCTTGGCCATATCTCAGGATGAAATTGGGCCTCAGCTATCTCCCTCTATGATTCCAGATGGCTGTAGAGATAGGAAGAGCAAAGAAGCAGAGACAGTTGAGGTTAGACAGGCCATCACTGGATAAGTAAGTTAATGAGAAAAATGTCCGGGGTGAAGGTTGTGGACATAACTGCGGGAATGCGCTGCATTAGAGATGAGGTGAGGAAATCATCTGAAGATGGGAAAACCAGAATAAGATAGAAGAAAAGGAAGAAATAGAAGATGAGAATCAAGAGTTAAATCAGGAGCAAGCTAGCCATAGCCTTAGAGAATCCTAGTGTGTGGCAAGGAGCACAGAGCTAAGGAAGTCAATAGAAGTTACTAATGGGAAGAAGTCAGAAGTCAGGGCATAGCAGGGGTCAGCCAGCTGCTGAGTTGAGGCCCTAAAATTTCACGAGACTTGTTTAAATATTGCACAGGTTCCTTTCAGACCTTGAAGAGAACTTCGAGAACAACATCTTCTCTTTCCAAGTTTGTGATATAGTCCTGAACCATGCTCCAGACTTCCGCCGGGTCTACCTGCCTTATGTCACCAACCAGACCTATCAAGAACGCACCTTCCAAAGTCTGCTGTGAGACTGATCCCCATTCAGTTCTTGGTGGGCCCTGCAGTGACCTTGTGCCAATCCCTCACCCAGAGTGCTGTCCCAAGGGTTCATGTCCCTGTGCCTGCGGTGTGGTGTCAAGCCCCACCATGCCCTCCGTATCAGATCTTCTCAGCAGTCACATCTGGGCCCCTCTGCAGCAGATCCCACCATTGTCTCCCAACCCCAGATATTCCACGGAGCGTCCATTCCCCATGCCTTCACGGAGCCCCCCCATCATTCCCCATGTCCCTCCTCACCCGAGGTTCACTATCATGCAGGAATAGCAACAGCAATTTTCGAGAGGTCTTGGAGAAGCTGGAGAGTGACCCCATCTGCCAACGCCTTTCCCTCAAATCCTTTCTGATTCTGCCCTTCCAGCGCATTACCCGTCTCAAGCTGCTGCTCCAGGTATGGGTCACCACCCTTAACTCAAAGGGATGATCCTGAGAAGCTTCAGGACAGAGGACCATCATTCTTGGGCCATTCACCTCCTGTGGAGGATGTGAGCAGTCTCCCCACTGCACGCACCCTTCTTTCTCAGAAACATTTGTTGTTGAAATTGTATCCCTAGGCTTCTCCATTAATCAACCTCCAATTATCTCTTCCTATTTGTTTATTTCTTCCTACCACCTGGCTCCTGCCTGCTGTTTATCCTATAGAACATTCTGAAGAGGACACAACCTGGCTCCTCAGAAGAAGCAGAGGCCACAAAGGCCCACCATGCCCTGGAGGAGGTCAGCAGCTACCCACTCCCATCCTGATTGTCCTTCACAGACAAGTCATCCCTTCCTCAGGCCCACGGCTCCAGACAGCATGGGAGGTGGGATCCTGTTAAGGGGGAGCTCAGCCTCCTCCCTGCATCCACCACACCTCCAAGCATGTCCACCCACAGCCTCCTCTTCCATACCCAGCACCACATACCAAGGGACTGCGCTCCCACTCCCACAGCCCCTCACCCAGGAGCATTCTGTCAGCTTGTGCAGAATACACCAGAGTCCTAAGGCTTGACCTCCGTGTTCCCTTCAGTCAGTGCCAGCCCAGGAGAAAAGAGGAGGCTGTCATATCCTTTTCCAGATTGCTTTCAGGGAACTCTGAGATCAAAGACTCTAATACAGTACTTGTCCCCTTTCCTCGCCTTGCCAAACCCTCAGCTGATCCGAGACTGCAATAATAATGTCCAGAGGATGCGCCGGACAGAGGAACTGATCTACCTGAGCCAGAAGATTGAATTTGAGTGCAAAGTGAGTTAATGCCCAGCCCCCTACTCTGCCCATCACTCTCTATGGCATGTCCCACAGGTCACCTTCTAAACAGAGTCCTCTTGTTTCCCTCTTTCCAGCCTCCAACCATCCTGCCTTGCTTTCTGTTCTGTTTCTGGGATACACAAATATCCTCTTCAATCTCCAAAACTATTGTCACTTTCACGTGAAGGTGCATAACTGTGTGCATATTATATTCTTTCGGTGTTAAAAAGGGAGGACAAATACATACACACAAACACACACACACTATATATATATACATATATATACACACATACATACATACACACCCACACACACATTTGCTTGTGACTCATAGGGAAACTCTGGAAGGATTATTTAAAGAAGGAACCGCAGTTACAAGGAAGAGGAGGAGTGGACAGGATAGTTAGAGGGTTCAGAGGGAAACAGAATCTAAGCAGGTAGGTTGTAAGTAAGAGAGAAGACAAGGAAGAGATGGTTGGTGAGGAGGGGAGGACTGTCTGTGACGCTGCCTTCTCTCTCTTCTGCCCCTAGATATTCCCACTCATCTCACAGTCTCGCTGGCTGGTGAAGAGTGGGGAACTGACAGCCCTAGAGTTCAGCGTCTCCCCAGGGATGCGAAGGAAACTGAACACACGTCCAATCCATCTGCACCTCTTCAATGACTGCCTGTTGCTGTCCCGGCCCCGAGAGTCAGTGGTTGGAATAGGAGGCTGGGAGAGAAAGGGAATGGAGGAGTCAAGAGGGAAGGCCTTAAAGGAACAGAGAAGGGTTGTCTTCTTAGAGGATCTTCTCAGTGGTTCAACCCATGGAGTCCAGGTCATAGCATAGAGAAGAGAAAAATGAGCCCAAAGCAAAAAAAGAAGACCCCACCAAATTATGTCATGAGGAGTTATAAATGCCTCCATAATGGAGTTATAAATGCCTCAAATGATCTTAACCACCTTCTGAAATCATTTTTTTTGTTTGTTTGTGTTTGTTTTGTTTTTTTGGTGTGTGTGTATGGGTATGTGCACGCTTTGGGCTGGAATCCACCTGCTAGCCCAGAGATACTTAACTAATTTCAGATCTTATTTAAGCTTGGAAAGTTTATATTCATTCTGTTTCTTCAACTTCTTAAAGTAACCCATTACTCATTGCAAGGGATGGATGTTTTGCCAAATTGGTGAGGACACAGGAGCTACCATCTTGAAAGCAAGTTAGGACCATTTTGTGGTTTTTATAGGAATTTTCAGGCTGCAGATGCTAAGGACATAGAGTTTGAATCCAAGAATGTGAAGGTGGATATAATATAGAAAGCCTAGAGTCCACTGAAAAGACTTCTATTTTGCAGGGGTAACCGATTCCTGGTATTTGACCATGCTCCCTTCTCCTCCATCCGGGGGGAGAAGTGTGAAATGAAGCTACACGGACCACACAAAAACCTCTTCCGCCTCTTCCTGCGGCACAACACACAGGGCACCCAGGCCGAGTTCCTCTTCCGCACAGAGACTCAGTGAGATGGGGCTGGGCAGGGGCGCTGGTGTGGGTAGCCTGGGAAGGAAATGGGACCAGGCAAAAAAGATGTCCAGGAAACCACCTAAACACTACTTAGCCCCCTCTGGACTGGGGGCCATAATGGAGAGCTCTAAATTCCCAGAGCTAAGAGGCAACTTGCAGGAGATCACAGGCAGGAGGAAGTTTGAAGTTGCCATTAAGACTCAGCATCTATTTTATCTCCTTTACTCAAAAAACTAGAGAAGGGGGATGGACTGGTATGGAGTAAGCAAAGAATTTACATCCTGGTGTCTGTGAGTTAGCGCTCATGTGTGCAAGCCAGAGACCCTTCAGTGCCATGGCTGCTGGGCCCATGTATGAATAAGACAAGCACTGGGTGCCTTTTGCTCCTCCACCCCAACCTGCCTACTCCATCTTCTGTTAAGCAGAAAGTCATAGTGCTGAGAAATTTGATTGGCTTATCTTTTCAGTGATCGTAACAACTAATATATTCATTTGTGCATACATCTTTGGAGATCAACAATTTTACCTATAAAATCTGGTTCACAGCCAGGTGCAGTGTCAGATACCTATAATCCCTATAACAGGGAGACTGAGGCAGGAGGATCACAAGTTGGAGACCAGCTGTAGCAACTTAGCAAGACCCTGTGTTGCCAAGTTGTCAAATTTTAAAAAAGAATTAAAAGTAAATTAAATGCGGTACATAATGCCTATAACAATGAATTCCTAAAAGACTATAGTATTATCAGTTTTATAAAAGATATGAGAAGAGTCTTTCTTTAAAATTTTCAACATATCATTTGAGAGTTCCTACATTCAAGAAGATTTTCAGTTTCGTCCCTTGGAAGACTACTCAGGGTAGTACTGATAACTTACCTTCACTTATGGAACAGAAAGGCAGATAGCAGGTTATGTATGGTAAATATCACATAAGCTATGTGATATTATGTATGGTAAATATCATTATATATGGTAAATATCACAGATGCAGTTATGTTCTCTTTGTTTAGTGCTTTGGGTAGAATTTTCCAGTAAAAGTGTCAGCTCTCAATTACCTAGGCACATGTGGAAGCAGAGGTTAAGATAATGCAAAACCTCCAGATGATTATAAAATTAGGATTACTTTGTACAAGAATGACAACAACAACAAACTACTAAGGTATTTCTCCCCAGTTGAATTATTATCACAGAATAACTTTTTATTTTTGAAATATTTGATTAATATGGGCAAGGGAGTATCAAGAATCATGCAGAGTGATAGAGGGAATCTAAACTGGGATGAACATTTTACTTGGCACAATTTCCAAAATGGAAAGTCTGCATGTGTATAATTGACAGGTAACTTTATACCCCGACTTGGAAGGTATAAGGAATCTGGAGGGGGGAAAGAAAGAGGGAAAGTGTGAAAGACATGTTAACCTACAGTTCAGGATGGTACCAGGTTCCACCACGTAGGGTCCTGGTGACTTTGTGGTGAAATCACTGAACTAGAAAGTCCTTCCCACAGCTATTTGCTTCCCAATCCTTGGCTATGATACACAGCCCAAGGCTGCAGTTGTAACCGAAAATACCACCCTATTTTGTTTTCTCAGAAGTGAAAAGCTTCGCTGGATCTCAGCCCTGGCCATGCCAAGAGAGGAGTTGGATCTGCTGGAGTGTTATGGTGAGTGAGGATCATCAGGGTTAGAGGTCTCCCCTGGACACAGGAGGTCAGGGTGCTGGGCGGTAACTCTGTGAGGCTTCTGTCGTTGCTTTTCCTCAGACTTCCAGAGTGAAGCTTAAACACTGGAGCTTCAACACTGAGACACATCTGCTTAAAATTGCTCTTCACCATGGCAATGCCCTCCCCCCTACACACCCTGCCTTAGGCTATAGTTTATTTATTCTAAGATATTTGTCCCCTTAAGTCCATTCTGCTAATTTTGCCTGGGTTTTACTAATTCGAAGGTGTTAGAAAAATAGGGGATCACAGGAGGATAGCAACACAGATTTGTCCTAACCATGCCCCTTCTGTATGGAATGGCCTGAGGCCACTTAACTGGAGGATCCCCAGTAGCTGCAAGTTCACATTCTGAATTTGTGTACATTTGTGCCAAGATGGACTTCTGGCTCTTATATCAACCCTCAGTTGTCCACCAGCAAGGATTTCCTAGTTTATGTCCAGAGGGAAAAAAAAAGAACTCAAAGGAATACTGGGTTTTTAGTGTCTAAAAAAAATAAATGAATATAAGGAAGCTTTGAAAAGAAATTAGGAGAACTAAGCTATAACTGAAATCTGTTAACTTCCTATATATTCCATTAGTTGGCTTCCCTGGTGGATAAGGGGGACAGGGTAATTTTTCCTCCTTCATTATGATCTTAAGAATGGTAGATGGGGAGGAGTTTTAGAAAAAGAAGTACAAATAATATGCAGTCTTGTGCTTGTTTTCTGGGAGAACCAGTGCAGGGTAAAGCAAGAAGAGCAATACCTGCGTATGATGGAACACTTAGAGGTCAGCCACACTCTGAACTTTGTTATCTTCAGCCTCAGCTCATAAAAATATTTTTATTTTTATTTTTACGAACCAGGCATAAAATTATAAATAATTTTATGCCTGGTTCGTAAAAATAAACAGATATCCAGCAACTCCTCAAGAATCATCTTGATCAATAATTATCTTGGTCACTCTATGAGGATACTGAAGCCAAAGGGGATTGAGTCCCTTGTCTAGTGCATAGTTGGGATTCCACTGATGGAGTCTCCCAGTCTCACTTCAGACATTGAAGGAAATGAAGAATGAGTCACAGGCTCAGATTTTACCATCTCAGTGGAGAAGCAAAGCACATAAATGGAACATTTAGAAGAGGGAGACGTGGTTTCTTATCAAAAGTCAGTTTTAAGAAGTTCACAATCCATTGAAGACTAAGGGACTGGGGAGGGGTTCAGAAGGAAGGTGGGTCTTCAATAGGATCTCTAGTATTTGTAGTAAACAAACAGTGGTCGTATATTTCTCAGTCATCTTCTCCAGAGAAAGAATTTTTGATCCATTTCAGTTTTGGTATTTTTATTTCTGTATCAACTACTTGGTTCCTGGTAGAAGATGAATGTTTTTCCAAACTCCCCCTTTGTTTATGAGCCCACACTTACCTCCAACTTAAGTCCTGCTCACTTCTCCCTGCCATTTCTCGCTCCTGTTCTGGGCTCCTGCCTCTTCTGATCTCTCTTCACCCTTCTCTTCCAAAGACTCCCCACAAGTCCAGTGTCTTCGCGCCTACAAGCCCCGAGAGAATGACGAGTTGGCACTAGAGAAGGCCGACGTGGTGATGGTGACTCAGCAGAGCAGCGATGGTAAGAGGGAGACTCCAGGGGGAGCAGGCCAGGTGTCCGAGGCAAGGCGTGGGGGTGGTTAGGTTCCTGGGGCTGCTGTAACAGAGCAAAGTTATTCTCTCACAGTTTGGAAGGCAAGAAGTGCAAAATCAAAGTGTTGGCAGCGCCATGTCCCTTCCGAAACCTCTAGGGAGGATCCTTCCTATCCTTGTCCAGTCTGATAGTCACACATGTTCCTTAGCTATAGCAGCACATTTCCAGTCTCTGCCCATGTCTCCCTGGGGCCCTCTTCCCTCTGTGTGTGCCCAGGTTTCCCTCTTTCCATAAGGACACCAGTTGTATTGGCTTAATGGCCACCTTATTCCAATATGAGCTCAGCTTAACTGTACTAATTATATCTGCAACAACCTCATTCCCAAATAAGGTCTTGTTTTGAGGTCCCAGGGATTAGGACATCAACCCATACTGGGAAAGGGAACACAATTCAATTCCTAACAATGGGGAAGACTCAGGAATGGGCAGCTGCAGATTTCACCAGACCCAGGGCAGCCATATTTAGTACATGGGGAGGCTAGCCCCCTCCAGGTAATTCTTTGTGCTGGTCCTGTGCCCACAGGCTGGCTGGAAGGTGTGAGGCTCTCAGACGGGGAGCAAGGCTGGTTCCCTCTGCAACAAGTGGAGTTCATTTCCAACCCAGAGGTCCGTGCGCGGAACCTGAAGGAGGCCCATCGAGTCAAGACTGCCAAACTACAACTGGTGGAACATCGCGCCTAGCTGTTCCCTGAGAGGAATCTCACGAGCCTAAGAACAAGCTGTTCATGGAGACGGCTGCCCTCTGAACCTGCTGCAGAGGCTTTCTGTGGACCAAGAACTAAGTCCAAGGACAAAACCCCGTTAACCCAGCCACTCATCCCAGGCCTCCTTTTCTGTGCTTTGTGCTTGGTGGGGGGATGTTGAGGGACTTCACACTGGACTCTGGGATCCTTTTTTCATAGGAAAAGGGCCTGAAAAGCCTTATTCAGGGAACTTTACTTCTGCTACCATACGGTCCTAAAGCATCCTTGGCTTCCAGAGTGCAGATTTAGACCCGGCCCAAGTTCCAGTCATGGTCACATGTTCAACACTCTGACCTCAGGCCACTGGAGGACAATGTTCAAGAGGGATTGACACATCAGATGGGAAGGTCAAGCTGGTGACCTCTAAGGTATCTTTCAGCCTCAGAGTCTCCGCAGTTGTTGGTGTGAACGCCGCGCGTGCGTCGCTGAGATCTGTGTCTCTGGGTGGCAATGTGAGGGGGTACTCTCTTGCCATAATAAACACTTCTCTGAGTGTTTTCTTTTCAGACTCCTCAGACTGAACAAGTTTCAAAACATGGATTCCCATAAGAGTTCCAGCCTATTTCTAAGGTGTCATGAAAGAAGGCCAACATGGGGTGTAGGGTGTGGCAGCTGCTTTGTGACCCCTGAGCATTTGGGCAGTTGTTCTTCTTTTCATGGTATCAGAAGTAGGAGAAGGAAGGAGAAGTACTCGATGCATAATGAAAGCCCCATTCAAACCCTGTTTACTATACCTATAAGGTCTAGATATTGGCTAGTTTGGGTGGATTTGACAAATCCTATTCAGACCATTCACGATTTTCTTATTGTGGCTCAAATCATTGTGAAGATATCTTCACAGAAGTTTTAACTTCTTTATGAAGGCAGCATGGCACAACAGAAAGAGTCCTAGAATCCAAGTCAAGAGGCCTAAAGTGCCGTTACCACAGGCTATGATTCAATCTCTCCATGTCTCCGTTCCCTTACATGTAGAATGCAGGATCAGACCAAGCAAGCTCCAAAGTCTTATCCAACTCTAACCATATATTTTTCTCTGTCTCCTTTAAGATTACCTTTCTCGTTTGAAGGGTATCACTAAATTGTTTTTGTCACCGAGAACTGTTGTATGATGTAATAATAACCTAACATCTTCCATGGCATCTTTTAAGCTAGATCATTATGGTCTTTCCTTGAAGGTTGCATTGCAACTTTGTAGAAAGGTAAGAATAAACATTATAAAGTTTGTTCTATCTCCAGTTCATCATGATAATGACAACACAGTATCACTTTTGATAACACTATCTTTTCAATCCATCCTAAAATATGTTAGCTTGCTTATTTTTTTAATTATTATCACTATAGCATGTAAGAATGAAGAATAACATTTTGTCTGAAGCAGGATGATTGCTAAAAAGTTTAAAATAGACGTTGGAGAATTTCAGTTGTAGGGTTTTCATAAAATCAGATTATAAATTAATATTTATTATTAATATATGACAAGATTTGCATATATATGTAAATACATAAACGAATAGCTCATTGTTATTAATAGCAATAATAATTTTAAGAATCCAAACTATTTGTTCAAGCCAGTATTTGAATAATGGCCATATGGTTCAATGCAACCTTATATTTTTGTAGACAAAGTCCCCAATATTTGCTCAGAGAAGTAAAATACCACCTTCTAAATGAAACATATGCAAATAATTTTTTGAATTGCATGACTGCTTCTTTGCTTGAAATTGTTAAGGCTTTCGGATCCCTTTGAACCTAAGTTCTTTAAGACTTTTAACTCTGTTTTCAATATTTAATATGTATTCATTTAATTGGGCTATTATCTAATCTGGGAAGCCAAAAGATATTGGTTTCTACCTGTGTTTAGATCGTTGGTTAAAAAACAAAAGAGAAGAACTTAGATATAGATCTCTCGGCAGTTGAATTACTAAAATTTCTCTAATTTGAGTACAGGAAAATTAAGTGTAGGTATAGTGAAATCCTTCTTCAGATTTCCAGAATTGAACTTAACTTTTTCTTTAATCTCAACTGGCATCTTTGGCTTAGAAACATAGCCAAAATTGTTAGGAAAGAGTGTAGCAACAAGCATTAGCCCATGTTTTTTGGATAAAATTGCATTTGAAGCACATATGAATGTACAGTGTTTTGTTGCTTTTTAAAGTAAAACAATGCATGAAGAAGTGTCTTTAGGAGACATCAACAGCAGTCCTCTGTGTAGACCCTCTTCTGACTGAAACACAAGTGGAGCTTAAGATCATATGATTGGATGGTGAATTATTTGTGAACTTGACTCTACTGAATTTGCAGGTCATTTTTGCCTACTCACTTAAGTTAGAAAGCTATCCTTAAGTTTTCACTACCAACATTCACTTCAAATTAGCTATTATCTTAAAATTTTAATTGTGCATTGCTTATCACCTTGGTCATTTATACTGATCTTGATAAGACCAGCCTATGGAGACTTTTATTTTCCCCAGGGGTAGGGATCAAACCCGGGGCCTTGTACATGGGAGGCAAACTCACTGAATCATAACCCTATGCACACATGTTTATCCTCCTGAAATAAACTTGATTTCTTTTTGGACTCCTTATTGATCCAGCCATGTAGTTTGTGCTTTTTAAGCATTTAGGGGTATTGCCCTTATGATAAATTCTTTATGGGATCAAATTAGAAGTCCGGTATTTTGTATCATGGCCCTTATAGACAGACATAGCCCTTGTAGATGTGGTCCTTGACCCACTCACCTTCCCAAGACACTTTACCAACACTTGTGCATGTTGGTACTTGGTTTTCGAGATCTCTGCATAAATAATTTTTGTGGCGGTGACTTGGTTTTACCACTAACACCAACTGGTGACCCTGGAGCCACATTTGCTATAACATGACTCTGGAGCTGCATGATTATAGTGACTCCAAACCTGTAGTTTAGTGTAATCTTCTCACTCTGAAATCAGGTGTGTGAAAGGGCAAAGGTTACAAGTAAATGAGCTACAGAGAGTCAGATGCCAAGCTAGTCATGACTCAAATATACTTCTTGTTCAGATTTAGAACATTCTCTAGGCTTAATAGTCTTTGACCCATTTTTTTTCCATCCCGCCCATTTTAAATGACAGTTACCGAGTGGAAATTTCCCTAGCCTCTTCCCTGCATGAGCATCCAGTCAGCCTACAATTCCCAGGGACTGTTGTGAAAACCGAGGCTAGGCTACAGGCACAGAAAAGGCAGGGAGTGAAGGTGAGTGGATGGCGCTGTGGATTCTTTCAGGGTGGCCTGTGAGCAGGGAGATGGTGGAGGAAAGGAGCTAGGTTTTTGTGTGCTATAAACTGTTTTTCCGAGCTGGAGAGGGTGGGGGACTGCTGATCCCTGTGCTTGGTGAGTGAGTCATGGGCCTGAGGGCAGAACTTGCAATAGGGAGGGGCTGAATCTGGCCCACACAGTTCTTCAGGAGCACCAATGGGCAGATAAATATTTTCCTGGCACTTTACCTGAGCATTTCAGAGAAGCAACTATCTTTCAACAATGCAGAAGAAAACAATGCAAAAGTAAAGCGGGATCTAGTCAGTTTGTACCCTAAGATGGAAGTTCTCGATTAGACCCAGGGGCTCCTGAACACCAGGAAGAAAGTTCAGGCTGGGAGAGGATAGCCGAGAACAACATATTGTCAGGTATTGTGGTCAAGTTATAAGACCAGCAAGAGAGACTTCAGACATCATAGAAGCAGACAGTCTCTGGGAGAAAAGCCAAATAAGGAAGACAGAGGACCCGTGGACCCTGCAGTGGGACTCATCTGGCCAATTCTGCCATTTTTTTCTTATGGAGATCAACTTGTGGGAATGAGAAAAGCCCGTGCTGTTGGAGTCCAAAGAATCATGAAGCCCTTTTTCTAAACCCTTATTTATGTCTAACGTGCCTAATGCAGATTGGGGAGGGAAAGTGATTTGCCTGATATCACACAGCCAATTAATTATAAACTACAGATGGAAACAACTCAGTGTTCACCCCTGGGATTTAAGCAAGTTGTTCACTGAGTTTGTGATCATCATAAAAGATTGAAGGTGACTTGCCATCAGAGGCAAAGATTGAACAAACAGAATATTAATAGGCAGGAAATTTTGTGAGAGAGCAGGAGAGGCTTGTGGTCAGGTGTGGATCTGTTAATAAGCAGGTGTTGGTGATAGGATGGCGCGTGGTCAGGCAACAGACTGGAAAACAAGGGTCAAGGTGTGGTTTGCAAAACAATCATCATCCTTTCACAAGCAGGGCCTTAACCAGAGACTCCTGTGAGAGGGGGGAGAGAGTGTGGGTGTGAGACGGGTGGCTGTTTAGATTTGGAAGAGAAAAGTACAAAAAAGGATCTTTGGAGAAGATGGAATCAATGAAGAATGTCTGGTCTTTCTCCCTGAAATAGGATAATACTGGTCTTAGCAAAGGGAAATAAAAGATAAAGGCATTTTTAAGCTAAGAATTGAAAGAAAATGAATGTATAGACTATTTTTAGAAAGCATTTGACAGTTGTCCTTTTCTGAACATGGATTGATTGATTGATTGATTGTTGAATGTGTTGTCAGTGCTGGGGACTGAACCTAGGGCCTCACACGTGCTAAGCATGGGCTCTGCCACTGAGCTACATTCCCAGTCCTGGCAGTTGTCCTTTCAATGTCAGCCTAGGAACATTTTTTTTTAAACTCACTTGATATAAAAGTGAGCGCTTGATTTTGCCAATTCCTATAATTGATAGTTATAGAAAATAACAGAAGAATCAAATTGAATTGAATTCTGCGCTCTGTACAAGGTAAAGTGAATAACCAGTGGGCAAAATTGAAGGTTGGAAACATTCAGTGTCTGTTGTGGTCGATAGCTCAGAAGAAGAGGCCTGTGGAAAAAGGAGGCTGGTGATCCTAGTGGGCCACAGGAATATGGACTGGGCAAGGTTGCAGCAGTTGGAGGGGCACTCAGGATGGAAGGCGATGGAAGAGGAGGACATGGGCAGACCTGAGCAGTGATGGAGGGGAAACGCCAGGAAGGACCGACCGCCCAGTCTCTGTGGTTGGAAATCCCATCCTCAGATCATAAAACTGGGAGGAAGGATGTGCAGAGGCAGCCTGACCAGGCGGCGAGAAGCAGAAACAGAATGGGAAGGCTTGGAATGAAGAAAATCAGGTGCGGAGGTCACAGTGCCCAGGCAGAGGCCACCCCCGCCTCTGGACTCCTGCATCCTGCCTGGCTTCCTCCAGGTGCCGGGCTCTGGAACCCGGGCTCCCTTCCACGTTCCCTCCTCCACCCCAGCCAACCTTCCCGCCCTCCTGCTGGCATGAGAGCATCCTCTACACCATCTGTGTCCCTCCTGTTTCCCTCCCGCTGCCGCGTTGTCAACACTTCTCTCCAGGACGCTGCAAGATCTCCCTGCGGCTCCCAGGCTTGGCATCCACGGTGTGATTATAAGGAAGAGTGATCATAATGACGACGTCGAACTTGACTTTACGCTGGTGACCCCTCCTAACTGCCAGGAGTGA